TTTTAATTGAGGACTGATCTTAGAAGGTGGCTTTAGGAAAATACCACCATATTATGTAATATTCTCAATGGCATAACCTTAGTTCTAGGACAGTACAACTGGAATATACAAAATAGATTTCAGACAAAATCAAATACTGAATGCTGGGTGTGGTGGTACATGCTTGTAATCCCAGCACTTGGGAGGCTGAGGCAGGAAGATTGCTGTGAGTTCAAGGCCAGTCTGGGCTACAAAGAAGACAAAAAAAAAAAAAAAAGTCTAACTTCTTACTTCAAAAGACAGTGCAAACTAAGAAATACTTAGGAAAACAAGGAGATGGAGGAACACATGTGAATGCGTATCCTCAGCCTCTGCAGGGCTTCTGAGGAACCTGCCACATTCCTCCGAGGGTCTGTGCTTCCTGACAGCTTCTCTTTCTTTCTGTGTGATTTACCTTCTCCTGCCCTCGTTCACCCTACTTTTTTGAAAGCAGTACCTTTCTGACATCTCTTGCAGTAGAAAAGCTTCATTTTGTTTGAGTGTCCTCTGGTTCATAACTTGGTAACCGCAAGGAGTGTCCGTTATGGCTCCTCTATGTGCAGCTCATTCTTTGCTGCTGTGCTCTCTCGGTTCTGTTGCTGCATGACTTCCCAGGACAGACCTAACTCTGGTTTCACTGTTTTTTTCTTTGTCCATCCCCAATAAAGGACAGTTTTTTTTTTTTTGTTGTTTTTGTTTTTTTTAAGGATTTACTTATTTGAAAAAGGCTGGCACAGCATGTGGTACCAGGGATAAAACCTGAGTCCTTGTACTTGCTAGGTAGGCTCTTAGACTGCTGAGCTATCTCCCTGGCCCAGGACAGTTAATTTTTTTTTAATTTTTTAATTTTAATCTTTAAATTATTTTTAGGACAGTGATTTTTAGCAAATAAGAAATCAGATTTTGTGCTGCATAAATATAATTTTCTTTGAAACCTTAAAGGCTTTATTAATGTTTTTAATCACAGAACTTTTATAATGAAGAAAGATTGGAGGAGCCTGACGTGGTGGCACACTCCTGTAATCTGAGCACTCAGGAGTATGAGGAAGGAGGTTTGCTGTGAGTTCAATGCCAGCCTGGGCTACATAGTGAATTTAAGGCCAACTGGAAGTATAGTAAGACCCTATCTCCAAAAAAAAAAAGCAGAAATCTATTAGACCTATATATATTTCTAAATATTTTAGGTAATTCGATAATCTGAAGTTGCTGTTTTGGAATCAATAGATCTATATCCATCTTGTAGGCACTAATAATTTTTTTTTTTTTTTTTTTTTTTTTTTTTTGAGGACAGTATCTCTAGTATAGGCTGGCCTTGAATTCACTCTGTAGCCCAGGCTGAACTCAAACTCAGGGCAAGCCTCCTGCCTCAGCCTCTTGAGTACTGGGATCATAGCTGTGTCCCATCACTCCCAGTTGAAAATAACTTTTATTTGAATTCTCCTTACATATTTTTGTTTGTATTGAGGGTACTAACACTTGAATATAAAATGAAAGAACATTTTTCTGTGAAACCTTACCATATCCTTTTTTTTTTTATACTGGGAATCAAACTCATGACCTTTTGCTTGCTAGGCAGATGCTGCCACTGAGCTAAATCCTGGGCCCGAGTGTGTGTATCCTAATTATTCGCTATATATCCCACAGAGTGTAAAATGTATGTGGAAGGGATAATGTACTTCTGCTTCTATTTACTATAATTATAGTAAGAATGTTATTTTAAATAATAATAGATAATTGTTTTTTCTCATAGCCATGTCTGGTGAGAACAGAGAAAACACACTGTTTTATTCTGAAATTCCTAAAACCATTAACAAAGCAGCAGTCTTAATGCTTTCTTGGAAGCCTCTTTTGGATCTTTTTCAGGTAAGCCCGAGTCTTGTTATTCCTGTGATGTGGTGTGTACTTTCAAGTACTCCCTGTACTTTTATTAATAGGGAGAAATGCAATGGGATTTTATATTTGAGGTAGATATGAGTCAAAAGAAATTAAGATGTTTTAGAATTTTATTCCATTTCTTAATATCTGAAATTAAAGAATATTATAATTTGATTTTCTTAAAAATTGCCTTTTTCTTGCCTGGCAAGTTCAAGGGCCTGAGTTTAATCCCTGGTTCTGCAAAAAGAAAAATAAATAAAAATTGCCTTTTTCTTCCATAAACTTTATTTTTAAAATTTTTTTTATTTTATTGAGAAACAAATAGCAGTGAGACAGTTTCAAAACCAATTAATAGGACAGTTTTA